AACATTCCACGTTCCTATGCAATATCGTCCTTTATAGCATCAGACTTTACTTTCACCATCAGGCACATCCACAGCTGAGTGTTGTTTCTGCTTTGGTCCATCCTCTTCATTCTTTCTGGAGGAATTTCTCCACTCTTCCCCAGTAGCATATTGGACACCTACTGACCTAGGGGGATCATCTTCTGGTGTCATATCTTTTTGCCTTTTCATACTGTCCATGGGATTTTTGAGGCAAGAATACTGGGTGGTTTGCCATTCCCTCCTCCAGTGAACCACATTTTGTCAGAACTCTCCACCATAATCCATCCATCTTGGGTGGCCTTGCACGCCATGGCTCATAGCTTCATGGAGTTACACAAGGCTGTAATCCATATGATCATTTTGATTAGCTTTCTGTGATTGTGGTTTTTGTTCTGGAGGCTGTGAAATTAAAGTTCTTACTTCTTCTGTCTGCCTTCTGATGGATGAGAATAAGAAGCTTATGTAAACTTCCTGATGGGAGGGACTGGCTGTGGGGAAAACTGAGTCTTGTTCTGGTGGGCAAGGCCATGCTCAGTAAATCTTTAGTCAAACTGTCTTTTGATGGCAGGGCTGTGCTCCCACCCTGTTAGTTGTTTGGCCTAAGATGAGTCCTAGAGTGTATAGGCTCTATGGTAGGACTACTGGCAACCTCCAAAAAGGACTTATACCAACACATGCCTCCCAGAACTGCTGCTTCCTGTGCCCCTGTCCCCGCAGCAGGCCACTTCCAACCCACGCCTCTGCAGGAGACCCTCCAACACACACAGGCAGGTTTGGCTCAGTCTTGTGGGGTCACTGCTCTTTTCCTCTGGGTCCTGGCACACACAAGATTTTGTGCCCTCCAAGAGCCTCTGTTTCCCCCAGTCTTGTGGGAGTTCTGGAATCAAACCCACTGTCTTTCAAAGTCAGATTCCCTGGGGAGTCTCTTTGCCAGATTCCCTGATTGGGAAGTCTGATGTGAGGCCTAAAACTTTCACAACAGTGCGAGCAGTTCTTTAGTATTATTGTGATATTCTTTGGTATTATCTGTTATGGATAGAGTTATATAATTGTTAGCAGTATGTAAATGATAAACAGCATGAATACATAGTATTTTCAAAGGTCTCTTTGTTTAGTGTCCCCAAGATTTTTACACCCAGAACAATACACCCCATTAATATTCAGGAAGGATTGACAGTTTGCCTTTTTTCAGTACAGTAGCAAGAGGCAGTTTTCAGTGGACAGGTAGGATATTGAATTTGATTGACCCCTTAGCAACCCATGCACCTCAAACAAAAAATTTTGAGAAAGAATTCATATGGAAAAAGAGGAGCTGGAATTTGAGGCTTTTAACCTATTCATGCCCTTAAACCCCTAGGACAGGCTTTGTGTTCCCCTGGGTTTCATGCACACTGATTTGGAAGCTACTGTTCTAGATGATGAACAAGATAAGATCGTTCTCCCTGCTTAATTTTTCAGTATTTCTCATGGCAACTGGCTGGGATACTCTTAGATTCTACTTCATCGGCCTCACATTAATTTTATTTTCTCATCTCCTTCCATTTCTCTGTCTTTATCACATCCCTACCTATGTCAACCTAATTACCATGTCATGAATATTGCAGTCTGCTCCACTGATCAGGTCTTTGCACACCTTTCATCACTGGCCTACCTAATCACAGCCATTTTGAGAGAGATTATTGTTAATAGATGGAAAGCACTTTTCAGTAGATGTTAAATAAATAATAGCAGTTATAATTTTCTTATACAGTTGTTATATAATAAAACAAGAGTTTTAAAATGTGCCTTCAACTTTAGAGAAGACAAATGACACAGTCATAAACTCTATTCTTTTCTTCAAACATATTGAAAGCTCAGAATGAATTCAAGCAGTTGTGTCTGAGAGATAACCAGAGCTAGCCAAAGAGATAACCCAAGAATCAAATGATATAAGTAATACATAATAAACCAATGTTCTTTTACAGCCAGGGCATGTAAACATGTGTGTGGTATACAGGATTCTAATACGGCCCTTAAGATTTCTGCCCACTGATGTATGTTCTATAATCCCCTCCCCTTTAGTATGGGTACAACTTGTGAACAGCCACTTGGGAAAGCCACTCCTGTAATTAGTTTATGTTGTACAACAAAAGTGAGGAGATTTTTTTAGATGTAATTAAAGTTCCCAATTGGTTGACTTTAAATTAATTAAAGGAAGACTTCCTTGGGTGGGCTGACCTAATCAGGTGAGCTCTTTAAAAGGGTGCAGAGCTTTCTGTATCAAATCATACACAGAGTTGAGGGCAAAAACTGGCCAGTTATTTTTCAATCATTTTCCCCAATAAAGATATACCATTTTCCCAGGGAAAATAAAACACCGTTATTTTTGCCTTTCACAACTCTGTGTTAAGATGAAAGAAGTTATATGGAAGCTCTAAAAGATATGATTTCCTAACAGGCCCTTTTGAAATTCATCCCTAGTGCAGAATCTTGGAGAAAGTTGGCTTATAAAATTTTAATAACTTTTAAAAAAATCTTAGTAAATAAATGAAAGAGGGTGCAAAGATCAGAGGTTCAAAGTAACCGAACGCTATGCTATTGGTCTTGAAGAAGTAAACTGCCGTATAATGAATAGGGCCATATGGGGGGAAACTTAGGCAGTTTCTAAGAGCTAAGGACCTTAGCACTACAACCACAAGAAACTGAATTGGAATGGGGACACTAAATCTTAGATGAGATAGTATGTCTGGTGGACACCAGGACTGTGCCCTTGTGAGATCCTAAGCAGAGAACACACTTGACTTATGCCTTGACTCCTGTCCCACAGAAAACTTGAGTTATGCATGTGTTATTTTAAGCTACCAAGTTTCTGATAATTTAATAGTTTCTGATAGTTTGTTATATAGCAATAGAAAATTAATACACAATTGAAATCATTACCAAATTTCTTAGTTTTTCATTATAGGCTTTACAAAATATCTAAGAAAAAATTCCTAAATGCCACTTTATTTCACGAATTTTGATCAAAGTGTAGTCTCTCTATATAAGTTTACAAACTAAAACTTAAACTATTTTAAAAATATTCCCAAAGCTTAAAATAATTTTATTTTAACTGCAATTGATCCTTGAACAGCATGGATTTGAACGGCATAGGTCCACTTACATGCTGGTTTTTTCCCAACGGTAAATGCTATTACCTATTAGTACTACAAGATCCCACAGTTGGTTGAATTCATGGACACAAGGGGAGTCAGGAGAGTCAGTGCCACTTAATCATGTTGTTCAAGGCCCAAATGTATAGAGGGTTGGTTCACAAATTCTTCCACCATTTTCTTAGAATTAGCATCCTATAAACACTACCCTCTGTTTAACAAATCCATCAGAATGGCTGCATGTTGTATAAATAGTCAACTCTGGACAGAAGAGAAAAAAAAAAACTACCTAACAGAAGTGTCATATTCATTGTATTTTTTTTCCTCTCCCAATGTCTTTTAAAAATAGCCAATCTTGGGCATGCCAGTTGAAAGGTGAATGTGCCAGTCAATATGCATGTTTGTGTGTGTGTGTGTGTGTGTGTGTGTTACTACTGGTCTTATTCCAGAGAGAATTTATGAGTGCCTAAAACACACACACACACACACAAGGAAGGGAAACTATTGGTTTATTGTACCTACCTGGTCTAGATAATGAACAGATTAATAAGATTTAAAAAGTCAATGAGTTGCACTAACCCAATCTATAAAGAGAAACACTGTCACAAAAGTCATCCTTTATTTTAAAGGACCAAACAGATGGTTCAGTTTCCTTGGAACATTGAGAGCCTTCCAGATTCTGCAGTTATTTCACATATGCCAGACATGTCTCTTTTCTATGGGTTTTATTTGAGTCGTGCAAAACATTTCTTTTTATTAGCAGCTTTAAGTGGAGAGATATTTACCTTGGCAGTATCACAGTGTAGATAATACTGAATAAGTTTGTTCAAAGAAACAGTCTCATCATGCCAATCTAGGGAAATATGCAAATCCCTATGCATAGCCTAGTAATGGTATATTTATCATTTGGTGTGCTGGCACCTGATTATCTGTCTTTATGTGTTTCTCTCCATATATACAGATTTTTATATTAGCAAGATAACTTATAACATGATTACACTTACTAAATTTTTGGAATTCTACTGATTTGAAAGCATTTTAGGATCTTGTTGAAAAAAATAAGACTTCTACTACACAGAAATAAAAGCATATCTACATCTAATTATTATCCAGGATAATTTTAGAGAAGAATAAAAATGTGTGAGTTAACCATGAAGGAGAGGACCAAGCGTACAGATTTAAAGGGATATCACAAAGCAAGTAAGAAAAGAAGCCTTTATCATAAACTCAGGAGAGTAGGGTAAAGGCCAGGATGTAGAAGGGTTATAGGACTGCTAAAATACAAGGTGAAAGAGAATGCAGGCTGTGTACAAGGACGGCCAAAGCGCTGAAAATTAGCTACTAGAGATTAAAGATGTCTGTAAGAATCTTCTACTAGACTTAGTTTTCTGCATTGCCGCCTCTATCACTCACCAGAAGAGGTCCATAGTCGGTTGACTGCTCATGTTATGTCTGGGAGGATAGGTTAGGGAAAGGATGCAGGATTGGTAGATGAGAGTCTAAGGTACTCACTCTTACAGCCCTAATGACATTATGATACTACACTTTTTCTCATTCTGTTTTTGTTTTTGTTTTTTTTCTTCCTTTTCCTTGATAACATGAGAATATTTAGGCCTTTACCATGAGTTTGTCTTGTGTGTATGTGGCACGTGCATGTATATCTCTAAATAATGGCTCTCTGAAAATGCAAAAGATTGGATACGTTTATGTAACACATTCTTATATTGTTAAAACCTATATGCATTAAAGTATCAAATAAAATAGTTGTTAACCTGTCTCACTAATAATCGCCTGCTTAGATCCAGTCTGTGAGAGGAAAAGGAAGCAATAAATTTGACCCTAACTTACCGCACATTTTAATTGCACAGTACTCCCAGGGGGTGTCAGGGTCAAGAGTATAGCACCATGGCCTCGGCTTGCCATCAGGATTGCGGCAATAATTATCATCAAAGCCCTTGTCGGGATATCTGCAAACCACACCAAGAAAAGTGTCATGTAAATCTTCCTGGAACATTACCCAGCCCTCAGCTCATAAAATAACTTTTGACTTAGCTCGGATACTATTAACTGATGAAAGAAGAGATTTTTCTATGTTTTGCCTTACAAGGACTGCTAATCATTGACTACTGAGTCTATTAATCTGCATATAGTACTAAGGCTAGAGTACCATCCCCTTCAATAATAAGTTAGGTCCATTTGGCACCTGTCTACCAGTTGAGGTCTCAAACCGAATCCCCTTCTCACAAGCCCAATTAAGGACAGATTACAAACACGTGACCTTGTGTAGATTACTTATTAAGAAAACAATAATTTTTAGAAAATAATGTATTATTTTTTAAGGTCCTCTCCTAGAGCAAGCTTAAAGTTAGGTTTCAATAGCTATGTTACTAATGATAGCTCAATTTTGGAGCTAGAGCTTTGTAGGTCATGCCCTCACCTCCACCAGAGTAAAAGATAAACTCCATCACACCACTTTCTCTATACCCACCTCCCTTAAAGTTAATAGGGTTCTGAATTTGTGGTTTGCTTTTAATTGCTACCATATCCCTTCTGATCTCACTTGAAAGATGAGAGATGCGCTCTAAAATAAAGCAGTTTTAAGTTCATCTAAAAGAGCAACAAACAAAAAAGAAAAGAAAGAAAGAAAAAACACCATTTGGCAATTTCCAAAGAAAGGTGGATAAAGAACTTCTTCTGTATTTATTTGTATTTTTATTCTTTATAATTAAAAAAAGGAAAAAATTTCAACTAAAATGTTGCCTGTGAAATTTATAGGCCAAAGTACACGTAATTTTTAAACTCAAAACCTTCTCCTGAAGAGAAAAGTAAACTTGGTTGCCTGACTTCCAGATAGGCAATAAGAAAGCAGCCAAGCAATTGCTTGTTCCACCTTTAGCCTGTGACATGGGGTCACACCATGACCCCACTTTACCTGAGTCACAGGAAGCTATGGCACAACAAGGAGATTGGCTTTTAGTTAACAATAATGCCACCCTCCCCAGCTTGGACCTGTCAAAGTGGCTATTACTGAATGCACTTTTATCTTTTTTGCTGCCATGGAAGTGAAAGAGGAAGCATCTGTTAGTGTTTTCCTTTTGTACCCACTGATGCTCCTGTGTTCAGGACCATCCTGATTTCAGGGACTCTCAACCTAATCAGCCAAGACCAGTTGACGCTGTAGTCAGCACTCTCATGTACCTCATCATAAATCCCTTTGTCCCAAGACTATCAGGAAAACGTTATAGAAAGAGAATTTCCATGTAATTTGTCACGGGACAAATTACAGTTTGTAAAGAGGATCACTTGGAAACGTGATTTGGCGGTATTTTACCTTTCTGGCAAGAATTTGTGCCGGTGTGGTGTCTGATGATCCCAGCGCTGACAAATCTTGCCTGTTTCTGTGTGATCCATGGGGCCTCGGTAACTTTCCCCATTGCAGGTCATGCATTCAACTAATAAAATCAAAGCACGGCATATTAATTGCTTCTGACAGCAAAATCAAGAGCACCACTGTTCCATTTAAAGAACAGTAAATCACCTATTCAGCAAGGGTGTTTTTAGGAAAACTTATATACTATTTTAACTTTAAAATAGGACTTAATGTCCATTCACAGTGGCATAAAATACTCCCTACAGAACTTTTCACACAGTTTAAATGGAATTTTTGTAGTTAGTGTCATACAAAATTACCATAGGGCCAAGATACTACCTTCCTAATTTTTGATAACTATCTGAAAGGTACCTAGAAACTGAAAAGTCCTTGGGAATTTTCCCTTTGTTGGTCTAAAATGCCAGGGATCTCAATATCTATACTGTCAACATACTAGTACTCTTCTTTCAACTTACCCTCCAATACATACACAGAAAATGCACAGTTTAAGATGAGTACACATCATACTGCTACAGTTAATGCAAAGATCAGGACAACACATATTTGAGAGATCAGCTTCAGATAGTAATCTAATACTATTTAAAGAATACAAATATTTTAAAACAAAAAATCACACTTCCTTTCTATTAGTGAGCATCCACATCGAATAAGTGAGCAAACTTACATTCTTATCTAAAGCTTAGGGTAGAATGTGACCTACTATTGAACTTCTTGTACTCATGATTTTTAAAAATCTATAAACTGATCTAACTACGCTAAATATTACTGTTGATTCTGTGAGGTTAATTAATAGTTTTCCGGCCGGCACCTTATGCCACACAGAATACTCTGAATCGCATCAACTAGCTGAAAGTGAGACTTCTCAAATGGACAGGTTGATTTGATGGAGCACAGCAGGCATCCTGTGGAATAAATCATTGCTTGGCTTTCCTACGAATCCGGCAAACTTCCCCAAACACATCATTTGTATCTTGTGATTACTGATCATCTAACATTAGCTGAAGTGGGAAAAGATATGAGGGTTTCATTTTATCCACTGGGATCTAGGCTAATGAGTATAGTAATTTGGGATATACTATTAGAATCATCACTTTTGAAACTTTGATTTTTATAATCTAATAGAACATTAACAATTAAACCTCTAAAACGTGAAACCATTTGGCCTGATCTATCTACTTCTTTTCATGTAGGTTAATCTATGAAGTAAAACAAGAGACTGATTCAACTTCCTCTCATTTGATACTGAGCTCCCCCAGACAACAGTCGGTAAACACCTGAGGGGGTCCAAGAGCATGTAGATTAAAGTGCTCTGGTTGGCAAAGATCAAATCCACATAGGTTATGTATCATCACATTTCAGCTTTCCATCTGAATAGGATTACAAGCTTACTTGGTCTCCATTTTGAAAAGAATGTAAAGTTTGATGTTCACATCATCGATCATTGTTGTTTGCTCCTTTGTACTGAATTAAAGCATAAAATAGAATCCTACAATCACAGATAAGGAATAAATATATACATGTACAATTTCTAATCTTTAATAGTACTTAAAAATCAGAATACACCTATTTTGTGTCCATCAGAAAATGCAGTTTATAAGAGTATATCCTTTTCAAATTAGAGCGAATAAAATTATTTTGGGGGAAATTGTTGTGGGACATTATTAAAAGAATGTTTCTCCTGGAACTTTAGAATTTTTAAATTTCTAAAGGAATAATAGCTACACAAATGAAACAGGTGATTCTATAAGATGACCACTTTCTAGCATGAGTGGTAGATCAGAGCGTCTCCAAACTTTAATATGCATAAACGTTACTTTCAGATCTTGTCCAATAAAGGACAACTTCTGACTCAGTGAATCAGGGTTGGGGCATTAATAGCAAGCTCCCAGTGGATGCTGGTGCTTCTGGTTCTTGGACCTCACACTGAGTGGCAAGTGTGTAGATAATTTGTTCAATTCTGAAAGTTCTTAATGTTTGGCAGTAATAGCTTTTAGGAGAGAATGGATTTTCCTTAGACCTTGAAGACTGGATGACATGTGGATAAACTATAAAGGGAGCAAAATAACCTAAATGGTGCCCAAAAAATGAACTAGCATGCTATGTTTATAGTATAGTGAAGGGAGAGTTATGAATGCAGGTGCAAACCTAATGAAGTTGAAAAAATAATAAAACTTAACATGAATAACGTTCAGTTTTGGAAGGCAATGAAAGTTGTCATTGAGGTGGGAATTAAATGTATCCTGTGAGGACTGAGATGCTAAAAATATATTATAGTTACACATTCTTTGATTAGTCAGTATTTTGAACATGTAAGAAATCATTTGATCCTTGCAGTGAGGAAAGCAAAGCTCACAAAAGTTTTAAGGGACTTACCTAAAACAGAAAATGACAGATCTGTAACTAGAACACAGGTCAGACCCACAGTCCAGTGCTCTTTCCATTCCTCTAATTGCCTATCCATCCTGTATATTGAACTTGTTTCCTACACATTCTAACTGGCCATACTTTAAGACAGACTAAAAGTAAAACTTTTAGAAGGTCAGTCTCCCTGTCTTTTTTTAATATTGTTCTCATTACCCTCTTCCCTCCTTTTATAGCAGTCAGTTGTTCTCCTGTTGGTTTCTCACCTATTGGAGGCTACAAGAAATGAGATTGGCTCTCTTATCCAAGAATAAAAAAAGTGTGGTTCTTCCTTTGCATCAGACCATCAGGTTAGTCATAAAAATTACTTTGAGAAAGGCAAATTTTGAACTCATATTTACTTCTCAATCTTCAAGAATTCTAAGACTCTTCTAAGTTTTCCCAGCTCACAGTCAAGCCATCCAGGTGTAAACCAAGTCAATCTAAGGACTCAGGTGAAAGCATTAACTAGATAATAGTTCAAGAAGGTAAGCATTGCATCTCCTATTCTATGTTCTTTTGACTCTCTCTGTTATGGCTAATGTATTACTCAACCATTCCGGAAAACTCTCCCCTTAAAATTAAAAAAAAAAATTATGTCCCAGTTCTCATAAATTCAAACAAAATCTCTATTCATAAGTAGATATCTTTTTCTAATTATAGTTCTGCCCTAATTGATAATAGGAAAGTACACAAGCTACACATTAATCATAAGTAGGATTAATTTAACACCTTTCTGGTATACTAACCAACTAAACTCAAAAATTGCTCTGTTCCATTTTTCTCAGTCATAAAGTCACAAGTGATCTGAGTTTACAGATTAAAACAACTATTTTGAAAGGATCTCTCAGATAAATCCATGCTGGTGATTACTTCAGCAAAACAGAATGCTTAAAATATGAATAGTCTCACAAACCCCCATTTATAAATAATAGTTTTATTTAAATCTTTGTTTTTAAAAGTCTTTTGCCACATAGGAATTACACATTTAAAGTTATGGCAGAATTATTTGGTATTTTATGTGTAAGTATTTAAAAATATGATGTCTTAATAAAATGCATTTACTTGAATATTTATCATTTAAAAAACCTGTTTCAATGACAAATGATTGCTTTATTTTAAATCCCAAGCAAACATTAAAGCAAAAAGTCAGATTTCATATACCTCAATGTTCCACGATCTTGAATTAAACATTAATGGTAGTATTTTCTTTACATAGTTATGTAATGTTCTAAATGTGATAAATGAGTATTCATTTTCTTTTGGAATGCTTAATATACTTCAAAGGTTTAACTTATAAGAAAATAACTTTAATCTTTAAATATCAGATATATTTTTATGAACCAAAATTTCAAATTTCAGATAATTATTTAAAGCAAATATTTTAATATAGTTAGAAAGATATCAAAAATATATAGAAAGAGTTCAAAAAATATATACTGTTTTACTTATCCTTTTCCAAACAGTCCAAAGTTGATCACAGGTACTTTAATTTTAAAATATACAAAATGATGGCATCTTTAATATTTCATTCATATAAATAAACTTTGGAACTTGACATTTGTAATATCCATATATTAAAATGTCTCACCCATCATACTATTCAAACATTGTGAATTTTGAGGCTTTCCCCCTCATATATATATTTTAATAGAAATTTACATCATATGTACATTATTTTGTATAATTATCCATTTTGTAAATAACGCATTTTCTCTATTAAGTTTGACTATGCTTCTTCTTATTTTAAATCTTCTTTATTAAAATCCTTCTAAAACATTGTTCATTTTAGCATGAGCTTAAATATCAAAGCTCAGTTCACAGTCCCTGAAATATATTTAGCCCACAGGACAGGTGTTGGTTTACTTCTCTCACAGGAGAGTTTTACAACTACTGTCAGACCTCTAAGTAGTTTCCAGAAAAAGTATATCTGCAATCTTTCATGCCATCGTGACCAATAGCATCAAGTGCCATTCATGCTACTGAACAATGTCCTTTTCCAAGGGAAGTGTGATAATCTCAAATCATTTTTTTAAAAAAATTTGAAATGTATACCCTAATAAGAATGACCAAAATTTTCCCAGTCATTTATTTCTTAGCACACTTATTTTTTGCCTGATAGTTTAAACCTGTGTGAATATATTTCGATGAAGGTTCTTCTTATAACCAGGAGTTGAAAAACCACATTCCCACAAACTAGGCACACAGAAAAAATGCTAAACTAAAGTTTGATCAGTTTGCCTTTCCTTGAAAACACTGTCCCAGGTCAAACAAAACCAATAAATAAAACTCTTTGCCAATAACTTCCAACCTCTGAAAACTGTGATAGCGGAGAAATCCCTAAAAGTAGGGTTTTCTTACATGTGCAAACTTAAGACAGATATTAAATAAAGACTTATTCATACAAAACAGACTTATTCATAACGTTATCACAGATAAGATTTTTATTATTTTTAAAAGAAAAGAAAACAATGAAGAAGTTATAGTGAACAGAATATGATATGGAATGGAAAGTAAGAATTTACAAACAGAGTTGGAACTGGCTCTAGCACATTAATTCAAGAATTTTAAACTAACTAACAACAAAAAACAAATTTGACTTCTCTGTGACAATTAGCTAACAACGGCCTTTTTACGTGATAAATATCAACCTAATATTTAATGAATATTACGGAAGAAATAGTTCAAAGATATTTGGTTAATAACAAACAAGCAAGATATCTTACTATAAAAATTGGACAGCATTCCAGCAGTAACTCCCACCCCAAGTACTTCAAAACCCTACCAAATTTTTATCAGAATTTGATCCATGTTTCATTTTGATTTTTAGAATTTTAGTTTCTGACACAACTAAAAAGCCAGTTATTACGTAGCCAGAAACTAAGAAAATGAAACCACGTACAATGTTGAAATGGTTACTTTTCCTTCTCTTCAGTCATTTTCCAGTGGAAGAGTAAGGATAGTGCCCTTTCATGCTGTGAGAGGAGATAAATATGCAGATGTGGAGTGGCTGCCTTCAAGACAGCTGGAATCTATAGATTTGAGCTCTTCAAATAACATTCTCAATGGTACTTAGTTCCAGACTACATGTCAAACTTGGTTCTAGACACATATTCACCAAAACACATACAGGGCATTCAAAATTTCAGTTGCCCGCTTCTTTCTTCTCTTCTGGTTCTGTATACCCTTGCCACAACACTTCAATATAGATTTGACAAAACTTCTGCAGAAGTAGGTTCTAAATGAATAGAATCAGTGTTACAATAAAGGGCTAAGTGTCATTTGGCTCCTTTCAGGTGAGTAGATTGAGGGAGTAGATTGAGGTATATGAGCTCAAAACAGTAGATGAAGAAGCCCAAATTTTACTCTACCCAGAGAGATAACCTCAGGCTCTTTTAAAATTCAAACTAACTCCCTCCATTACTTTGCATTAATTTGATGATAACCAGTTTTTAATTTTTAAAACATCCTATAAAAATGCTCAGATAATGATCTACAGTTGCATTTGAATGGACAGCATATTCATTGTGATTTAATCCAATTCTATTAACCTTTAATGTGAGTTGCATTTTTACACAAAGGGGGAACAGAGTACCCCACATGGCATTCAGGTCATTTACCTTCTGAACACTGAGGAATGTCACAGACTTCGTAGCGTACCTCTGGATTGCTTGTGAAACACCAAGGTCCCCCTTCTTCACCTCGAGGATTTCGACAGTAGTTTTCCTGTAGGTCTTTACCCCGATAGCTCGAAGGCAAAAAGCTAGTTTTAAAATGATAATCATTACAGTATAAGAGCATGCAACTTTTGGGGGCCTATTAATATTACTAGCTAGTGGATATTTTTTCCTGAAAGTAGAGAAATTCTTTACTCCATCTCAAACAGCCATATATATTAACTTGAATTCTATCACTTCCATCCATTCTTAAAATACTTTAAATTTTATAGACATTTACCTAACTGAATTCTCGTATTCTGCACCAACAAAAATGACTCATCCCTGACTTTGCTAATCATTCTAGAACCTAATTGACATTGTCTGAACCACAGTTTCAAAGTTCCACTCAAAGGTAGCAAATGATAGAGCAGAGCCACTGAGGAGAGACCTGTAGAAACACTGCACTGGGCCTTGACATCTCACTATTCCATTGTTTATCTTGAGATAATTACTTGTTTTTATATATTTTCTTATGAATAATACCCCCCTTTTCTTCACAATTGATAAATAGATTGATGAAGTCATAGAAACAAAGATTGTAGACTCAAACTTAACCCAGACTCAAATTTCAGCTCTATCTTACTAACTGGAGACCCCAGTGGGCAATGTAGCCTCTTTCAGCCTGTTAGCTTACCTGTACGCTGCGTATAACTATAACTTGTAACATCTTACACCTCATGCAGTTGTTTTGAGAAGTTCAAAGAGACAAGAGTGACTGAGACTTAATAAATGCTACCTATTATTAACCACACTCCACTTAGTTTTTAGATGTCATAGTAAAAGAGAAATGCTATTCTCTTTAAAAATGTTTAAAGTTTTCACTGTGACTGGAGCATGGTGCTTTCAGACTTAGTTCATAGTATTTGGCCATAGACTGAAATACAGCACCTTTGTTTAAAATTTCTAATGCCCTAGTTATAGTTTTGTTATCAGCATCAAGTATTTCAATGTAAAAGCAGAAAAATCCAAAGCTCTTTTTATTCTTTTGTACTGCATGTGACCTTGGCCTACTGCATATGTCTCCTAGACTGCACACATAAATAGCATAAGTAAACAATATATATCTGTAGGTAACATTAGTAAGCACTTTTTTTGAAAATCCAACTGCATTTTCAATATTCAGTACAATTTTTTCTATAAAGCTTAATTTCTACTTTTACTGATCTCTGAGTTCTAAATGGTACTTAAACTGCAGTCAAATCCAAAGCTTTTAGTCTGTCAATAAATGCTACTCAAATATGTTTCCTATGCACCTAAACTTTTAGTTAAGAAATAATGATTTTTCATTATGCTGTAGCACATAATAAATAGGAACATGCCTTGGGTACCAAGCAACATTTTGCAAAGAAATCATTTAATTTGGACATGAAATATGACAAAGTCCTCAGAAAATATAAATTTTTGGTCAAAATTAGTCTAAGAGACTTACTACTAACTAAACAATTTCAAGATATCAATTAAGTATCATTAACATTATGAAATGTCAAAATAGTTTATATTCTTATTTCACTAGCATTTTAAATACTGGGGAATAATAATTAAACATTTGGTCTTATGATTGACACAAATTATAATTAAAGTTTATCATGACTTTACAGTTCTTAACAGTATTTAATTTTCAAAGAAAACAATGGTATCTTTTGTCTTAGTTTTAGCTCTATTATTCAAGAATAACTTAAGATAATCTTTGTGCCATTGCATGAAATGTATTTTCTTTTCATTTTTGCCAGTTATCTAATTTTTCATAGTAAGTTTATAATGAGATACTCATTTTTCTGATAGAATCAAAATTAAATTTTACTTTATATTTTTTCATAAAGCACTGCTTTAACCAAATCTACCTAAGAAAACCCCCCTATAACTCTACTTTCTTAAAAGTTTGGCTTATTATAGCAGTAAGAATAGGTTATTGTTAATCATGAAAATCTACATAGTTGCCCTATACATATCACTCGACTAGTATACAACACTAGTCCTTAGGCAATTTACTTGCTTTTTGGGTTTTCAACTTGACTTGCAAAATGAATGGAGTGAATTAGATTATTATAAGGTCCTTTATTTTTTATCATTTTATGTATTAAGTTTAAAAAGCTAAGTAATGATTTAACATGTTAACTGCACACATATAAAATACCTGAAGTTTTAGAGATTTTTGTTACACATACACAAAACACATACACATATACACTACACATACACAAACATATACCTTTCCAGTAGATTTGTAAAGTGAAAAAGAAGCTGTGAAGAAGTAATGAATGCATAAGTCAACAGTTTAGTAGGAAAGATGCAAGTAGGAAGGAAGAGAGATAAATTAAAAATTTAAAATAGGTATGGTTAAAAGAATAAAGTTTTCCCAATAGAGTTAATAAAAATGAAAAATAAAGAGAAAAATATGTGCTGTTTTCCACAATTCTGTATCAGTGCATATCAAACTCCTCTTTAGGACACGCAGGGTAAAGAGCAGTCTGGGTCATCTCTTCTGTTCATTCTTTGGTATATATAACTTTTACCCCAATTAACTGGCATTCTTTAGTGTTCTGAGGTTTTTAGTGTGCTTTTCTTTAACATATCATACTTGACCAAGTGATGAAGCCTAACCCTGTTCTTTGTACTTATGTGTTCATTCAACACATATTTATGAAAATCTATTACACACATGCCCTGTGCCAGGCAATAGGCTCTGTAATAAACTTTTACTCACTTACATACTTTTTTTGGTTCTTTGTCCTTGTGAGCAAAGCTTTATTTTTAGAAAGATAAGTGAAAGAATATGTAAAATTGATTTATATCCAAATATACTTAGAAATATAAATTAGATCTTCTGGGTGATAGCCACCTTTTCTTTTCTTTTAATATGAACTGTGTTTATAGGAAACTTGATCCATTCCATCATCTGCTTCTTTAATGAATGCTGGGTGGCCAGTGAAGGATACAGATGGAGATATCAGGTCACCTGATTTTCTAGTTAAGCTTCTATACTAATTTCATCATCTATCATCATCTTCCCATTAAGCCACTTGTAAAATATTTCAATTTAGGGAGTCCACAATAAATCACCCTTCTAGACAGAGACATATATAGATATATATTTATTTTTCCACTTTCCATACAATTAATCTTTGGTTATCACTTTAAAAAGATATTCCAAATAGCTGCTAATTGATGAAAATGTGTTGCTCCCATTGAATACAAAAAATTGATTAACCTATGAAGTCTTCTCTTCCTTAAAGCTCTATATCACAAGGAAATGTTTGTTGATAAAATAGCTGATTGGATTGGGAAGCTAGTTCCCAGGGAGATCTATTTCACATGTACTCCTGTAGCAGAGAATCACAATCATAGAGAATTTGGGTTGAAATAAGACCTTTACTGGGTCAGTCCAGTGCACTCTCCTTGACTACAGTAGGATTGATTTCAAACACTATTCCTTTGTTCATGAAATTCTTAGATCCATCTATTTAAGCAAAATGTTTTCCTCACTATGCAGGGACTGGCACCATACAAATCCTATGAGAGGACAAAACCAATTATATTGTTTGTTTTGTACAATAATGATAAAACTATTTTTTGGAGGTATTCATGCATAATTATAAGTAATGAATTTGACAAAAATAATTAGTTGCTTTCTGTTATTCAAACACTGTAAAGCTGATCCACTTGGACACTTGCTGGTTGGCATTAACTAGACCAACATCAAAGGTTTCATCCCAGTGTAGACCAACCAACTCTTTTTCTTTACATGTGGACCAGTGAACTCTGTCTCTGTTTACTGAAGTAAAATCATCTTGCATGGTTATTCCCCACCAAGTGAATGAAAATGAACACAGTAGGTTCATCAAGGCAAGTCAATTACCACTATTGCAAAAAGAAGTCACAGCATGTATCCTTCTGATTTGCTGAGTGTTTAAGGCTCTAGAGCTGTTTAAAGCACAGGTTTTAGAGTGGCACTGGAAGGCCTCAGATTCTGGATTTACCACTTGCTAGCTGTGTGTGACTCTGAAAACTTACTAAGATCTTTGCCTTTCGGTTTCACCATATAAAAAATAGAACTAATAAAATCACCTACTATGTGGTTCTTGGGGGCTTCCCAGGTGGTGCTAGTGATAAAGAATTCACCTGCCAATGCAGGAGACACAAGAGACATGGGTTCGATCCCTGGGTTGGGAAGATCCCCTGGAGTAGGAAATGGTACACTCCAGTATTCTTGCCTAGAAAATTCCATGGGCTGAGGAGTCTGGCAGGCTACAGTCTATAGGGCCGCAGAGAGTCAGACACAACTTAGTGACTGAGCACACAGGTGGTTCTTGAGAGGATTAAATGAGATAACCTAGGTATACTGCTTAACAAGGTACTAGGCACATGGTAATCTAAATCTTCCAGTGCATCTAATAACCAGGTAGAGCTATTTTAAACTAGTTCCTGTTAAAATTATTTCCAAAATAAGTCTTGAAAAACTTTCGCTATATATAGCTGTCTAATGAGTAGATATCTGTTTCTCCTTCATGATGTTTAAAACTCTCAGACTAATGAGCCTATGGATATTATATTTACTCATCTTTAAATAGCATTCATCTGTTATAATGAACACAATCCTTCTTTTAACTATAGACATTTAATTTCCAAGAAATAAGAAGTTTTCTCCAGTCATTAGGTGCTAGGTGAAAAGGGAAAGCTGGTCATCTGAGACACAAATTTTTAGCAAAGCTTTATAGAAAAACTGGTGCCTGGGTTATTTCCCCGAAAAGATTCTGATTTAATCAGTCTGTATTGACACCCAAGTGGTAGGATTCATTAAGGGCTTTTTAGTGATTTTAATGTGCAGCCAAGTTTGAGAACCACCATGGTTAAATGACATTCGGCCCCTGGGGAAGATCGGAATTTGCCTCACCGCCAGCTTAGCACAGGCAACCTCTCCACTCCGGCTGCAGAGTGTTCTGCCTTCTCACAGGCAAAGAGAAGGAAAAAAATGTATTACTCTTTTATTATTTCTTCCCAAACACCAAGATCTATAAATTGAGGTTTTGAGGTGAAATAATGTTAGGCTACACCTTAATGATATATATTTTTTTATTCTTTGGCTAAATATCAGTTATTAATTCAGATAAGCCTTAGACTAATACACTTCAGCAAAGTTGGCTGAACTATTAGAGAACTATAGGATTCATCTGAAGGACTAACCTGGGCCTGCTAACAGACCCGTCCAAGAAAGGCTCTGTCCTCTTTTCTCCATGCTAGTCTTACCTGTGTTCATGTGGTATCATGGAATTCCAGGGCTGGCATTTGATGCCACTTTTAGTGATAGATACCGTTCCCTTGTAGCTACCGCCTTTACCAATGATACAGTTTCTAATGTAGTCTATCAAAAGAAAGCAGAGAAAAATGTTATAACCATGTGTAACATATGCTGTATATATTAAAAATAAAAATTATAAAATTCCTTTTGAATCTTTAAGTAATTAATGCTTATAAACCATCACAAATACTGAAATTTCTTGCCTAAAACTTCTAATATTTTCAAAATAATGCATTTAGAATAATCCAAAACAAACAAACAAACAGACCACTGAGAAGTTTTAATTTTGTGAGTATATACCTGGGAAACTCTAGAGATTAATATGCCTGTTTAACGTAGATTATTCTATATACTCAACTGACGAGGCAAATTTAATTTGGCACAATTATTTGCTTAAGTGCAGAGACCATTTAAAGAAAACACTAAAAATAAAAATTTGTAAACCTATTTGAATTCAAGCAGTTACTTTGAGGTAATGGAAATAACTGATTATTTTTATATAAATGATCTGATTCATTTTTTTAAATTGTTTTACAAAGTTGTGTTGGTTTCTGCCATACAACAATGCAAATGAGCCAAGTGTATATATATCTCTCTGTATATCCCCTCCCTCTAGGTCATCACAGAACACCAGGTTGGATTCACTGTACTATACAGCAGTTTCCAACTAGCTATCTAGCTTACACATGATAGTGTATATATGCCAATGCTATTGATTTGTCTTTATATCAGTAAAATTGTGTGGGTTTTTGTGTATATGTGTGTATGTGACAATTACATTATGCTGATTATTATTTTCCATATTTTTCCTAACAGATTGGCTGCTAAATTATAGGACAATCAAATAGAAACAAGCTATATATTCCTATCAAATAACAGTATAGTCAATTAGCAACCTAAAAGACTGAAGATGGTTTTACACTAGATTATGAATCGTGTTTAGGATTTATAGAATTACTGGGGCGTATAGAGATCATCTTACTTTCTAACATGAATTAATTTTAATGTAATCTAAGCATTTTCCCTATTAACAAAGAAATATCTATGTGTATTACTAAATAACTAAACTTATGAAAATATAATATGATATAACAAAACATTAAAATTGAAACACATAGTATTATAAACATAATTCATGATTATTATTTTGTGATGAGAGATTATTTTATTGATATAAATCTGCTTTTGAGCAAAGTAAATACCTTGAGAATACAGTATCAAATTATCAGCATAGGCAAATTAACAAATAATATGGTCTCAATTCTTTTAAAGATTTTTTTTTAAGTATATACCTAGCAATAGATACAATTAAGTTTTCAAAACCTCCACATTTTATTATTATCAGCCATCATCAGTATAACTTAGATTAATTATCCATAGATTAAAATTTAATTATTAGAAAAAAAGTTGTTAAAATTTAGAATACTGTATAAATATACATTTTTATATATATATAAAATGCCTTAAACTAATAAATATATAAAACATCTTAAACTTATAACTTAAGGTGGCACATTCTAAAATGAATGTGGAGAATATCAGTCCCAGGAGATGTTACTAGAAATAAACAAAGTGAGAGGGGGTAATCTAATTATGGAAAATTTGGGAAAAGCTCTTTTTAAAGGGCCACACTGAAAACAGTCAAGGCGTTAGTGTCATCTGTCTTAATGGATGAATCGACTGCATAACAGATCAGGATATGATGGAAAAATCAGAAAGATCACTGTGGCAGGTAATTACATATACTTTATACTTTATTTCATTATGAAATATTTAGAGAAAAGCCAGTTACCTTTGTTTTCATAGAGGTCAAATTCATGGCCAAACTCTTTTTTTACTCCACTTGACATGCTATTGAAAGGGAACCAGAGGCATCGTTTTCTTGCTTTATCAAAAACAAAGGCCCTGAAAAAAATATCTGAATGAAAAGAAGGAATACTACTATTTATACAGCTTTTAAAGAATAGGTACATGGTTTAACCAAGGAAGATAATATAAAAACAGATGAATTATTATGTATACAGAAACGAGGATATTTGAACCTACAATTTTGATAGCAAAATGAGACCAAAAAAATTAAGTTTTTATAGCTGTATTTTTAAATACTAGATAGAGAAAAATTTGAAATGATGTCATGTTATTCTACATGAAATCTAGAAAAATAAGGGCTTCAATAAGCACAATCAATATACAGCACAATTATTAGGCTTATTTATGAAGATTTTATTATTTTTGTAAGTACACAGAAAGTTGGAAGGTTTTTTTGTGGTTATATATAAATGATTATATTTGAAATATCATGATTAATTTCCAAAGTTTATAATTATAAAAAGCACATTCTAAACTGACATGTCCTAAAATGCAATAGACAAATCACAACCCCAAGAGATCCTGCTAGCAAAGAAGGATCTGAAATCAAATGTTTGGAAAATTTTACATACAACATCATTTCTTGTTGAGTTATAAAGCATTGAAACTTACTAAAAGCTATGAAAATCCCGCTATTAGTTAACTTTATATAAGTCAATATTTCCTAAATAGATTTGCTTGCATAACCATTTTTAATTTTTAAGAAACTATAACATAATAGAGAATATGCTTCTGATATATCATCTTGACAAAAATAGCTAATGTGTTAACTCTTAAAATCACCATTCCTACAGCTAAGTATTATATTGGATTTTTGTTGCTCACTAAAAAATGTATTTCTAAAAAAAAATGTTTCTAAAGCAGAATGATAAATACAAAAATCCCTTAACTGAGAATAGTAAAGTACTTAAAATTTTCAACACATTAAGTGTTACCATTTTTACAATACAAAAAATAAAATTAGAACTCTGAATTATTTTCTTTCCATTAAGAAATAATATTAAAACTCCTTCTTACCATGTTCATGCTAACTATAATGCCACCATGTATAAGCATCACATTAAGAGAAATACACAGATTTTCTAAGAATAAATAAAGATTTTTCACTCCCAGGCCATATATTTTGAAACCACAATTTTCTTGCAATTTTAGATAGCTCAAGTTAGTCACTTATTTCTTAACATTTCAACAGCTTTTAAATAATTTTAAATGAGGGGAAATAACTTTTATAAAACAAATTTTAAAAGATGCTATAAAATTACTTAAAACATTTTATCTATTATTTCATATTTTTACATAGTACATTTTAGACTATAGCTAAATAACTTCAAAATTATATGTATAAACTCTGTGCTATGGTTTACATGTAGACATTTTCATATATCCACCTCCAAAAAGATTTTATACCTGTAATAGCATTAGAAAACAAACATAAAAATATATTGTTGCAACTGATAGAAATAATAAGAGAAAAACTGACTAATGATAGATTTGAATTTTCACTTGGAAGATAGTAAACTTATGCAATGCGTGTTACATTTCCCTATTGTAGAGTGTTGGGGGGAGAGTGTTAAATGACTTTGAAAGTGTAATAATTAGATAAAGATACATATGAAGATAAAAAACTAAACAAACATCTAAAAGGAAATCTTAAAATTATAGAATCAAATACCTGCCACTTAACTTCACATTAAAATTAAAATGTATCACACATACAAAAACTACTTTTCTGCCAATAATATGGATTTGACATGAAGAGCAGGTGACTCACTGAAACCCATCAAGAACATGTAAGACTGCCTATTTCATTCATCCTTCTCTCACAATCCATTGCAATCATATACTCTCAGAAAACTCTTTTTGCTCATATCATTTTACACCTCTATATGGACTGGATCCAAGCTAACAAATTCCATGAACTGCATATCTTCTTTTAAGTTTGATTTTAGGAGTCTTTATCTTAGTCATATTTTTAACTACCATCTTCCTTTCAAGAATTCATTTTGTTGAGTTGTTTATGGCAAGAGTGCAATTTCAATACCATTTACCCAGTCAAGTTAGAAATTTTCATCTAAGTCAGTTCTTGAACATAAATTTTCTGAAAAGCTTAGAATCAGGCATTCTGGCCATCTTTCTTGTACAGCAAAAAAATATTTTCAATCTCTATAAAATCAGTATTGTTGACACATTCTCAAGAGAAAACAGTGTTTGAGACTTCCACCTCATGCCCTGAAGGTGGAAGGCATCCACTGAATCCCAGATGCTTTCACACAGCATTGTTGGTATTTTCCAAAAGTTTTTGTGTATTTGCCATTGTTTTTAATGATACTAGTTCATGTTACAAGCTGCAAAAAGATCTTCAATTCATGAAGAACTTACTTTTAGAGTATTATAGTATGTCCATTCAATTCGGAATGGAATCACTAAATATATTACTTAAATAGGGGTGTGTGTGTGTGTGTGTGTGTGTGTTTCAGTTCAGTTCAGTTGCTTAGTCATGTCTGAATCTTTGTGACCCCATGGACTGCAGCACGCCAGGCCTCTCTGTCCATCACCAACTCCTGGAGTCTACCCAAACTCATGTCCATTGAGTTGGTGATGCCATCCAACCATCTCATCCTCTGTTGTCCCCTTCTCCTCCCACATTCAATCTTTCCCAGCATCAGGGTCTTTTCAAATGAGTCAGTTCTTCGCACCAGGTGGCCAAAGTATTGGAGTTTCAGCTTCAACATCAGTCCTTCCAATAAACACTCAGTACTGATCTCCTTTAGGACGGACTGGTTGGATATCCTTGCAGTTCAAGGGACTCTCAAGAGTCTTCAACACCACAGTTCAAAAGCATCAATTCTTTGGCTCTCAGCTTTCTTTATAGTCCAACTCTCACATCCATACATGACTACTAGAAAAACCATAGCCTTGACCAGATGGACATTTGTTGGCAAAGTAATGTCTCTGTTTTTTAATAGGTTGTCTAGGTTGGTCATAACTTTCCTTCCAAGGAGTAAATGTCTTTTAATTTCATGGCTGCAGTCACCATCTGCAGTGATTTTGGAGCCCCCAAAAATAAAGTCTGACACTGTTTCCACTGTTTCTCCATCTATTTCCCATGAAGTGATGGGACCAGATGCCATGATCTTAGTTTTCTGAATGTTCAGATTTAAGCTAACTTTTTCACTCTCCTCTTTCACTTTCATCAAGAGGCTCTTTAGTTCTTCTTCACTTTCTGCCATAAGGGTGGTGTCATCTGCATATCTGAGGTTATTGATATTTCTCCCAGCAATCTTGATTCCAGCTTGTGCTTCATCCAGCCCAGCGTTTCTCATGATGTACTCTGCATAGAAGTTAAATAAACAGGGTGACAATATACAGCCTTGACGTACTCCTTTTCTTATTTGGAACCAGTCTGTTTATTCCATGTCCAGTTCTAACTGTTGTTTCATGACCTGCATACAGATTTCTCAGGAGGCAGGTCAGGTGGTTTGGTATTCCCATCTCTTTCAGAATTTTACACAGTTTGTTGTGATCCACACAGTTAAAGGCTTTGGCATAGTCAATAAAACAGAAATAGATGTTTTTCTGGCACTCTCTTGCTTTTTCGATGATCCAGCAGATGTTGGCAACTTGTTCTCTGGTTCCTCTGCCTTTTCTAAAACCAGCTTGAACATCATCTGGAAGTTCACAGTTCACATACTGTTGAAGTGCATGCTAAGTCACTTCAGTTGTGTCCAACACTTTGTGATCTAATGGACTGTAACCTGCCAAGCTCCTATGCCCATGACATTCTTCAGGCAAGAACACTGGAGCAGGTTGTCTTGCCCTCTTCCAACCCAGGGATCTTTCTGACCCAGGGATCAAACCCATGTCTCTTACTTGTCCTGCACTGGCAGATAGGTTCTTTTTCACTAGTGCTACCTGGGAAGCCTATATATATTTAGGATAGACAAGTGTGAAGGATGACACCATTTCTGAGGAAAGAACTTTGGCTGTACATTGGTATTACTATAAGTGGTTTTCTGCACAGGTTGGCTTAAATTTGGTGACTAAATATAACTCAACCAGAATATGGTAGAAAAGTGTGAAAACTCATATACATGGGATATGTAGAGATTTATTAATCAGGTCACATGTCTTCTCCAACACAACAAAATCAGTTTCTCCTAAATAAAACAAAGGGAAGCCTTTTTGTTTTTTCCTAGCCAAAGGGCTGACTAGTGTAAAAATTGAGGCTTAGCAATACTTTCCTTACTTGTGGACCCAGGAGAGTGCATTTTCAGATTCAAAGTTAAAAATCAACAATGAGACGTGGTTCTTCTCCCATTCCCTTTGCCCTGCCTTCTAACCCTGAGAGGGAAAAATACAATAAATCCAACCTCCTCAATTGCCAGAAGAACATCTCCATAAATCTACACCCCTGAGATGTTGATTGAGAGTAGTTTTATCTATTTTTTTTTTAATCTCAAGACTTTTCTAGGAAAGTCAGAGAAAGATGGAATTATCATAGGAATTACTTGCAAAGTTAATTCCCCATTCCCCGTGCCAGGAAATATCTCCCTGTAAGTGGCAATTTGGCTATAAGAATAATTCTAGAAGGAGATATAAATGAAAAGAAAAGAGATAGTCTGTCTTCCCGCTAAATCTATGGAAGACTTCCTCTGACCATGTCCTTTCTCCTCAGACCTGTAACACTTATTTCTCTGAGAAAGGAAATTTGAATATAGGAATTCTGGCCATGACATTCCTAAAATCTGTGTTCACAACATGTGTCACAACCCAAAAGTAATAGAGTAGACTTCAAAAGTGACAGGTGGCCCTGTGCAATGCTATTGAAATGGAATGAAATAGGAAATAAAACAGTGGAAAGTGAGGGGAGGGAATATTTTTTGAACTAGGACATGAATTTTCTTCGGGCAATTTGGAAGACTATTCAGATGAAATTGTCACCTTTATGGCCCCAAACTCCAAGTTTTATGCTCTGAGAGTACTGACAAAGTTGTAAGGAATTTTCCTGGGAGGTGCAGAACTTTCAAAAGATAAGAAAACTCCCCCATTTGAGTCCCCTCATGCCTCTTTGAATTGCTCCATCACTTTTCATCTAAAACTTCAATACACTACCTCCTAACTACTTTAAGAGGCTGTTTAAGCTTTTGCTGCTAACACCAATACCCCTAGGTTTTTTATCTAATTATATCAACACTTTTTATTTCTATCCCTAAAGACAATAAGTTGCAGTAAGTTTTGACTATTGCCCAATTTATATTCTAAAAATTCCTCCACTCCTCTTGTGAGAAAAAAAGAAGAAGTTTACTCTGAATAGAATATTTTAAAATATTAGAAATAAAAAGTTAATCTAATTGAATTTTAGTTCCTAAAGTTCAATTGTTCATAAAATGAGAAAATACAAACTCCATAACTAAAGCCAATGTGAATTCTAAACAATCTTGTGGTTCAAGTGTTCTCCCTTACACATATTTCCAACAAATGAGAGCTGTCTTCTGTTGTAATGAGTTAAAACTAAAATCAAGCTTATAATTTTAAGAGTACATCCCATTGAATACAAAACCGATGATGATAATGAGCACATTCTATATTTGGAAAATTATTCTAAGAACAAAATGAAGCAACTTACTTGCAAGTGAATGGAAGTCCTTTATTCCTAATACATCTATTGGCACATTGGTCTGCAGTGTTCATTTTTTTTGTTTTTATCTTCAGTAATGGGTCCTCTTTAATTAGAGTAGTCTTTGCTGACCTTTTGAATTCATGAAGTGTGTTTCTTCTTTTCTTCTGTCCTTCTATTAATAATAATAATTTTTTAAAACATAGGGGAAAATATTTTAAGGGTCATATAGTAAATATCCTTTAAGAATCATGTACAAGATAGTGATTCTGACAACATACCAGACCTCCAGGGCTTGGAGGTAGAGTGATGTGGGGAATAATACTCTCAGATAATTAAGAGCAAGAAAGGAATACTTAATTGTGAAAAAAAAATAACTTCTCATACAGAGTCACTTATCTACATTCTTTCAAATGAAAGATGCTTTTAAAAATTAGGACAGAGTTCACTCTTAAGAAATAAGTAACATGATATTCTCCAAACAGTATGAAAGCAAGTGCCAGGGCATATCATATCATATCATGTTCTATAATTTAATTTGTCATTTCCTTCTACAATTGATCTTATGTAACTTATAGTATTAATACTAATTAGATAAGCCAATTCAATGACAGGTGAGAAACTTCTCCTTAAAAATGGTGCACTGGATAAATACTTGACTTGCTCTTTAAAATATTTCATTCTATTCACATTTTAGTCTTTCTCATTTCCTACATAAGTGTTCTCTGTGTTTGGGGGCACTATTTCTTAGTATCACTGAACTGTTTGTTTTGAAATCAAGCCAAATGCTATAAATCAAATGAATGTAAACCTTCATCCTTTAATGAAGCAATATCATTTTTCTTCATCATGGTATTCTACCAGGCCCCTAGATACATGAAGCCTCCTACTAAAAACCCTAAGAGCAGAGCCAAAACATCCCAAGAGACTTAATCTTTGAATAATTTTGGAATAGGAAGAATTTACTTCTTCATTCTTAATTTATCCAAAGTTACCTGATAATTTCCTCTTCACAATGAGGATCAAATTGTCTACAAGATTGTAGCTATTTTATAAAGGATAGACATAACTGTGCCCCTCCCCTGCCTGTCCAATTTTCGAATACCTTTATAACAATGGTAGCAGTAAAATTTTAAGATAAAGAAACCAAGATACAGGGGAACACTGACAACTTAGAAGATCTGATTCAAAATCCAGCTGCCTGGATTCAAAACCCCCACTCTTAAACACTTACAATACCATCTTCCTCTAAGACTTGATAAGAGAGTATATGAAAATATGGCTTGTAAATAGTTTCTGAAGATTCGGTTAAAGCTATCAATAGAGAAATAACTTGCATGTCAGAACAAGAAATCATTTCTGATCTTTAAACATGGTGAAATGTGTCGAGAAAAGAGAATGAAAATTTTTGTCCAGAAAATTTGGAAATATGGCTTAACAGAGTGAGATAACAAAAATGGCATCATACTCTGAAGCTTGCCAGCAACCACTAGCTCCAGTTGTTTCATTAAACATGCAAAGCCTACTCACTAATATCTATCCTAACCTGAAGTCCACAATAAACAAGAGAAAACCTGAATTCCTCTGAACTTCTGGTTCTCTGTAAAACTCCAGAACACAATCCCCAAAAGACTGGAACTAACTTCTATAACAATGCTTACATTTTATTTTCTTTTCTTCAACTATTCTTTGCCCTATAAGATGAAATGGCTATGGTAGAAGAGATATAATTTAGAAGACATTTTAACATAGAAACTCAGTCAACCAAATAATCTATCAACATGTTATCCATTGAGTGTGGACCAAATGCCTTGCATAATGTTGGCAGACTGATGATAATTCTGGCATTCTTATTGACTTGTCAAGTGACTTTGTTTTATTACCTTAAATGCTAATATCCCATTATTCAATCTACTGACACAAAATAAATGTTATAGTTGAACTGAAAGGAGTGATTTAAACTATAATCATTTGGAAATCAATTTGGATTATGAAATGTTATGAATATGCAAAAGTTTACTTCTGTTTTTGAAATTTCATCCTTTAATTTCTGGCATAAGAGAAGAAACTGTTATTTTCCCAAACTAAGAAGTGGTATTATTCTTTTCAAATTTTGATTTCTGCCACATGACCATGTTAACGGGAGATAAGTTTCACCACTAAAGTTTTTCCTTCTTTTGACCTTAGTGCACTATTTCATAGGTGCACTATTTCTTCATATGATTTTATAAAAATCATCTGAATTCCTATATAAATTGGAATATTTCTTAGAGACAAAATAGTAATAGATGCAAAAAATGTATTAAAAAAACTATTACCAAAATGGAAAAAAATATGTAATATACATACATATATGTAATCAATTAAATTAACTAAAATATAGAATTTAAATTGGCCTAATGTATATTGCATTTATTACATATGTTTAAGTGTGAGAGAAGAATGTAAAACTAAATTTAAAAAGTGTAAGACAAACACTGAGTCTTTTTAAATTAGTATTTTAGTATTTTAATTAGTATTTTACTAATCACAAAAAATAGAATCCCTGGTCAGTGCTCTGTTTTGTTTTCTCAGAACCAGACAACAGAAGGAAGGCATTAAGGATGACTATAGAGAAAAGTGGTTTCTGTAGGATCATTGGTCATGTTTAATTCTGCAGATCCTCAGTTGTCCTATAGAAATGTGTTAATGTGTGGGTATCTCATAAAAATATTCTACTCTTGCTTGCTGACAAACTTTGGATCACTACCTTTCATCTAAAGATCAAAAAGCATCCTGAAAAACAAATAAATCTATAATTTCCCTTTACTAGATAATAAATAGGAGAGAAAAGCTTGTCTGGGGTTACAAAGCTAATAAGAGGCAATCAGAACCAGACAGTAGGATTCCCTTTTCACTCTTTATTTCTGATGACTTAGAAGCTTTCCCTTATATCAGTCATCTCTACTAGGTCAGTAAATGATTACTCAAAACTGCAAAGTTCAAGCTAGTTGTACATCATGTAATCCACACATCTATAAAATTAATTCCTTCTTCAAAAAAAGAAAAATTCAAAACAGGAGTCATTCAAAAACAGCATCTGAAAATAAAATTCCTTTGCTTGTATTAACAATTGATGCTTGTTTTACTAAAAACAGTTAAAACACAAACTTAATTTGGGAGGAAACTCAAAAATATCTTTGGATCAGATTTTCCCTACTATTTTTTGTGCATGACTGTTAGTTGAAGTTTATAAACAAAATACTGAAATGAAATCAAAGGGTAAGAGATCACTGAAACTTTGTCATGCTTTCCTGTATTTTAAAATGCAACTCCTTTTCCCTCTTCCCTCAGTATGGGAAAACATTCTCAAAGCTATATTTCCTAAAGAAACTGAAGTCCCAGTTTTAGAACTGAAATCATTAGGATCTTAGTGAAAACCTACAAACAGAAAGTAGGGTCAAATGTATGAAGGTGCTTGAAGAAAGACACATTTCTCCCTCTGGTCCCCAGGCCTCACACTCATTTCTCTCAGTACCTCATATATTTCTTCTCTGTATGGACTAACCATTGACTTCAAAGGAAAATCATGCAAAGGAAAGGATTTGCAGGGTGTGGAAAGAAGCAGGAATCTGGCTCCACATATTCTGAGAAACCTACCCACGTGATTAGTGATTAACAGCTTGAAGTGGCAAGATGTTAAGATGAAAGTACACAAATAATTAATGGAAGGGAATGATGGTGACTGGAAATTTACTTCCCAGAGGCAAAAATCATAAAAACAAGTCCAAATCTTCATTGCTGTTATCTAGGACTTGGATTCATAAGCAGACAATTTTCTCCCCTTTTTTAGAGAAGAGAACAATATCACAAGTAAAGATGTCAAGAAAGGATCAAATCAGATTTCAATCAAATGTTAGTATTTGAGGAGCAGCATAATGATCTCTTCCAAAAAGATCTACAAATGAAATGATGTTCCGTGTGAGTTGAGGACCCTCCTAGGTCTCTCCCTCCTTCTACTTCATTCCACTTCCTCCTTCAGCCTCGTCCTGGTCTCTTGTTTCATTGTCTGTTTCTCCTACAGCTCTCCTCCCACCCCAACCAAAGCAACCACACTTCACCCATGTATCTTGTAAACTCAAAACCATCTGGCTGTGATCCATGATGTTTAAAACAGTGTGATTTAGTGTGATGTTCAAGCATACATATGCACCACGCTCAGTCGTGTCCGACTGTTTGTGACCCCATGGGCTCTAGTCCATCAGGTTCCTCTGTTCATGGGATTTTCAAGGTAGGAATACTGGAGTGGGTTGCCATTTCCTCCTCCTCCAGGGGACCTTCCCAACCCAGGGATCGAACCTGCATCTTTTCTGTCTCCTGCATTGGCAGGCAGATTCTCTACCACTGTGCCACCTGGGAAGCCCATGTACATCCTAGTCTCTCTTATTTTTCCAAACCCAGGTCATACTCCTGCTCAGGCACTCATGATCCTACCCCTGCATGATCACCTGTCCTTCGTTATACTTACTCATTTCAGTACCTTCTGCCACTTATATTTCCCTGACTTAAGTACTGAGCATACTATTACCTGTATTTTCATACTCCACTTGGGTACTACATACCCCCTAAACCTTATTTGATCTTCTAAGCTAGAAATGAACTCTCAACCATAACATAATACTACTTCTAACACAGAATCATCCTTGTATTACTAACTAAAATGGATTTTTTTAAAAGTAAGTTTTGATTGATTTCACTGCTGCTGTTTTCAATATAAATAAAAGGAAAAAATGCACATTGCATATTTCATTCACGCAGATTTAGGCAGGAATCTCAGTTCTACCTATTATCTAAGATAATAAGACAAAATAATTAAGATTTTTAACTTCAGTTTCTTCAGGTAAAATGAGTCAATCCAATAATGCCAATCTTATTAGAATTAAATAAGCTTTGTTTTAGAACCAGGTCCAAAACAGTTGCTCAACAAGGGTAAGTCTCTTTGTCATTTATTCATCTGTAAATCTTGCACAGACTCCTTGACAATAGGGGTTCATTTAATGACCCTTTCTTGTTGTTAGAGGGAATTGGATATTTGTATCCAATGCTGGTGGGATGATGGAGGATAATCCCATATGGACCAGTCCCTTATAAAGATGGCTTGGGTCTATAACAATCAATATTTCTTCAAGTTTTTTGAAACTTTTCTAAAAATATCTCCATAATACATTCTGCTCATAGCTGGTTGTCACCTTATTATAGTATCCACTTTGTTTTAAATATTGTGTTATCTCACAGTATGTAAAAATGCAGACTCATCAGATAAATCAAAAAAGTATAACCTAAGCAAGTAACAGCAATAACACAGTTCTCAATGTTCCATGTTAGATGTTATAAAAAAGAACAGACTTTCTTTATATGTTCTAAGAGGGCTAGCCATGTTTTCTACTTTGAGGAATGTTATGTTTTTTAAAAAAAACTATCAAAATAAACTTGACAAAGGCAGATCCTCTTTGTGATAACAATTTTAACATTATCCACCCTAGGAATTATTCTATTATCTGTAATTCCCAACTGACTTCTTCTTGCTTGCAGCATTCTCTTGGGTTCCATTCTCCCTATATTCAGGAAATGCAGTCATTTCAACACTAGCCAAAGTGAAATATAATTACAAATGTATATCTCCTGCCAAAGCTTCAAAATGCATGCCAAAAGCAAATAGACATTGTCTATGGTTGATCTACTGTTTGGGTTTTCCACACCACGATCCCCAAGTATTAGCACATATGACTCCAGGTAACCATATTCTACTTTAGCCCATCAACATTTTAATCTTAAAAATGAAAATCCTCAAAATGTTAGCTATCATTTCAATTTAGGCTCAAAATCCCCCAAACCAGCAATGTCATATAAGAATTAATTTTAACACAACACATCTCAAGGGTGATAACCTGCTAGATTGATACTTTTTTTCCATCTCTTTAGAAATCTAACATAAATGTTTTCAAACTGACCCTTTCCACACAGTGTTGTTTTCCAAAAAGAACAAGTCACAAAATCAAAGAAAGCCAAGTGGGACTGGATGACTTTTCTTGTCATTTGCAAATTCTTGGTGTCTTCAACCTTTGGATTACATCGAAAACTAGATCAGAGTTCTGATAAATTTCATATTTAACTTATCTCAAAAAATATAGCCCGTTCTGTCTTGTATTATTTTTTAAAAAACCATGTTTACCGTCTGGGCATTTGTTCTGCTCCTTTATTCCCCTGTGCCCACCTCTGATGCTCACTACCCTCTCCTGTTGGCATCCCAGCCACGACAGTGATAATACAACCAAATACAGATGTTTCCTCTTGCCCTGATAACGACAGAAAACTTCCCAAAGCAGCAAATGAAAGTCTAAACTTCCAGGCAATATGAACTCCCAAGCAACTCCTTCCCAACCTATAAATTCTGGGGAGAAAGCAGGAGACCAAAAGGAGCTGTTCTGCAGCTATAATCAAGTCACACCATTTTTTGCCTCCCTTGCACTGCAGTTTCCAAAGGGCAGGCTTCCATACTCAGAAAGAATAAGACCTTAGAAGAAAGGCTTTCTCTTTCATTTTTATAACATGCATATACTCAGTTTAATCTGCCTTCTCCAAATGAAAATCTGTATTAAGTCATAATTTGGCCCTGAATGTGACTGAGTGATGTGGGATAGCGGACTGTCGTGGAAAATTGCCTTTGGGGGAAAAAAAAAATTGTGTCCCTGCTGTAATGACCATCACTGTCCCCGTTCAGATCAGACCCTCTGTTCAGCTTTAAACTTCTCCAAGCCGGTGTTAGCACTTCATTCCCATTCCACCATCCAGGACTATCAGGCTAAGTGAGATGGGGCTGGATCAATGGGGAGATGGGCAGAAACAACAGGGGGGATGCTAATTATCATTTTAAATGCTTTTCAAACAGCAAAAGAATGTCAAAAGAAAGCTAAATGAGAGGTTTAGAAAAACCTTACCACAAACTGAGTTAAGGAAGGATGCTGGGAGTAAGGCAAAGGGAGAGTTAGGGAAAGGAAAGGTTAGCAAGAGAGAGTTAAATAATAATATTAGAGAAAACTAACCTGCATAGGGGATGGCGATGGGAAGCAGGAGGAGGTGTAGGAGGACGTGCTGCAGCAGCAGGACTGGCAGAAGTCTGGTCACCCACATGGTCCTGCTGGGTGTGCTGGCGGATCCCACTGGAGCAGATGCCTGGGTGAAAGAATCCTGTTCCGACTCAGAGCCTAAAAGAGCCCGTCGGCTCTGAGCTGCTTTTTATTGCGATGAGCTAAGTTTGTTGTGTGATTAACTGGAAAGATCTAGGTCTGAACTCCCTCTTACGGTAAGAAACTGTTTAACAACAGCCCTTTACTCTCTCCCACCGCCCCCCCTTTCCTCACTTACCCCCCCCTCCCCCCCCCCCACTTCGCCCACCACAACACCAAACGCGGCCCAGCTCCCCACCCCCCCACCCCCACTCTGCTTAGGAAAGAAACTTACAAAGAAAAGGTCACCTGGCCTGAGGCCAGCTGCAATTTGGAAGCTGGAGCTCCAGATCCCAGTGGCTCCTATCCGAGTAAGGAAGGGAGGAGCAAGGCTCAGCCCAATAGCTAAATCAAGGCACAGGCAGAGGACCAATTCGCTAAGTTTAAACAGGAAAATACATGTGTTTACATATCTATTTGGGAAAAGAGGAAGGGGAAGCAGCAGAAGAAGAAAGCAAAGCACTGCCTTTCTGTCAAATGTGCTTCAGCTCCTAATCTGTCTAGTTGCACTGCTAGAGCAATCTAGGCATTCCAAACACCGACGCAGTTTCCCTAGGGTGCTAGAGCCGGGGAAGGACCTGGGAGGCAGACAGCAGACAGGTCCAGCCCAGGTAGAGAGAAGTCCCATGAGAACGGAGTATGGAACTGTGGGGTAAAAATAAATGAACCAGCAAAACACAAACAGCCACGATTGTCAGGCAGAAAAATTGCCCCTATTCAATGGGCTCAGGGCAGGTAACTTTTTTCAGAAGCTGAGCTAAGCTCCCCAGTTACAGCAAAGGTACCAAAAGCTCTTAAACTTGTCTGATTGGGGGACTGTGATAAAATTTGGTCATGCCCTCTTCTTAAAATGTCTAAAACATTGAGATTATCCACTGCCTCTCCCTGACAGATAAATGTGGCAAGGATTCCATGCTGCGCCTCCCCCTCCCCTTCTCTTTTCCAGCTCCATCCCATATGCATGCACTTCCCAGCCTCCCTCAAAGTGGAGGGATGAAGGGCTTGCACTGGGGAGGAGGGGAGAGGGTAAGGGACGGACATGTGGGATACAGAGGTTAGTGTTTGCACCTTGAGGTAGTGAGTTGATTATTTTAGGTAAGAGCTTGTGTTATTTTTAATGAATTTGGGGGTATAGTTGCCCCTATGTGTTTCTGAAATGGACACAAATAAGAACAATGTCTTCTGTCCACAGAGGAAGGGGAAATGGGCGTAATGTGGTCTGTCTCTGGAGCTGTACAGAGATGGTAGTGGGCAAAATTAAAGCCATCCTTAAAACAGCGTTTCGTCCACAGCTCTCATTCCTCATCCTTCAGTGCAGCCTACCCCCACCTAAAGGACCTAAACCTGTGGAAGAGCTAGAGAAGCTAGTTATTAAGAGAACTAGTCTTGAGGAATCCACTTCATCTTACCTTTTCCTATTTTTGGTCCTTTTCTTTTCTCATTTTCTCCATATAAAAACAAAACCAAGCAAACACATAAATAATTTGTCAACCTTTCCTAATGTCCTAAGTACTCATTTTACGTTACTTTTTACTCCAACTCTTAGCAACCCCATTACTGTAGCCCACTAGGCTCCTCTATCCATGGGGTTTTCCAGGCAAGAATACTAGAGTGGGTTGCCATTTCTTTCTCCAAGTGGTATTCCCAACCCAGGGATCAAACCGGGGTGTCCAGATCAAACTGAAGGCAGATTCTTATGATCTGAGCCACCAGGAAAGCCCACACACTTCCTGTTACACTTCTTGGAAATTCTCAATTTCAGTATGTTGTTGTGTGACCGTGATCCTGATTAGCCCCATGGTAACTCCTGTGCTTCGCTAGGGATTCAGACTCCTTTTAAAGAAGCTAGAATTTTTGATAAGTAAATTCTATAGGTAAACAATGAAGGAGACCAGTCTTCCTATCTGTTCTCTCTCTCAGAGAAAGCAGAATCAGGGTTGTAAGCATAATTGCAATTATCATTATAGCTTGGGGCAAAATCTATCCTGGATAAGAAACTTAGGGCATCAAAAAGAAATTGAACAATCTTATTTAATAGGTCACACATTTTCACAGTTTTTTATTGTCACATTAAATATAATAAATGTTTAACCTTATTTAGAATTATTATTTATATTTCTATTTTGACAGGTTATTGGTTTATCTATATTGAAATGACAACTAATATGCATTGAATTTTTAGTGTATGCTAAGCATTGTACCAAGTACTCTTAAACAGATTCTTACTAATCCTTACAATAAACCTACATTAAAAAAATATTATAATCCCCAGTTATAGTCAAAACAGCTTAAGTAAATTATTTTTATTCTTAAATAACTTGCTCAAGATCCCAAAGGAATAAAGATTCAGATGGGAGAGCTGAACATTGTTGATCACAAAACATAGGATGGGATAAATTTCTATAAAGCTTATAAGAACAAGACTTTAATCACTAAAATTATGCTGAGACCAAACATGCTGGAGGTGCTTAACAATAATTTACAAAATAAATGAAAGTATAAATAATTTTAAATTTCCCAAAAGTATGATGAAATACACAAAGTAATGAAAGATGCTGTTATTTTACTTTGTCTTGATAACACATTCTCATTATTTTTTCAAGTCATCATCATGATATTCTCCCCATACTTCGCTCTTCCTTTATACTCCTTAGTTGATAAACTGTATAAATCCCCAAAAGTGTGAAAGTTGTTTGATAAAACAGAAAATCTTATGAAGACAATATTTCAAATGCTACAACTTGTATAATTCCTTAAATACAAGATGGATCCTCATTGCCTACATAATATCATTTTAAATCTTTCATAAGTTTAAGTCTAGTATTCCATACGAACTAAATTGATTGAACAGGGAAAAAAAGTACAAGTACACTGCTGATGTTTTTTAAAAGCCTACACTTGATCCACACAACCCACACCCCCTGCCCCCAAAAAATCCCTGTCTTCAAAAGCCTCATGTTACTCAACCACAAGTGATGTTTGAGTCCATTTACATTAGAGCGAAACTGATAGGACTTTGTGTTCTGTAGACCACTAAAGAGCTCTGCATTCTCAGACAACCCATCTCATCCCTTAAGTAATAGGAAAATATATTGTGTCGTTCTGCTTGCTACCACTACTTTGTAGACTCAGTTTAGTCCTACACCTGGTTACAAATCCCAGTTACTATCTTGGCAAAATTTTACTTTCATTTCAGTTTCCAAGGATTCATAAACAAAAGAAACCACACAAATAAACACTTTCAATATTTAGTAGAGGATTATTTAACTTAATTTCAATATACAACCATTAAAAGAAAAGCCAAGTAGACACAATAGAGAGTAACAACATGTGCATCACCAAATTGGATCAGTCAACATCCAGACTTGAACAGCATATGCTGGGAATTCCCCCAAGTCCCACTTGGGAAAAGGGCCAATGCAGTGCATCCGCTCTGTGGGTGAGACTTCAAACTGCAGTTTTGGGGGTTCCCACTTATAATCCTAGGTCTCAAACTGATATCATCATCACTGTGCATGCAAAAATGCAGCTCTGGTTTTACTTTAACATTTTTACAGTGTTGTTTGTTTTATCTTGTGAGTCATAGGATTTCGTTAAACTCCAGGCATGGTTGGCCAGACCTCCAGGGACTCAAGAATTCCAAGACCCACTCCTTTTCTTATCTAAAGTGCCACCTGACTAGCTGTGCTTGTGGGCAGGCATGGAATCTGGGCGGTGTCCAAGCAGATCAGAAGCAAGATCAGAAGACTACTCTTCTGCTTCTGAAACCTGAACAAAACTTCCTCCATTTTAATTTTCCTCACAGTCAGCCGCATGATTGTTGAGGCTGAAGAACATAGGAATAAGGCAATATAACACGAGCAGTCTTGTTAATTCTTTAGGTCGAATAACAATTCCAAACATCCCAAAAGAAACAAGATAATTAAAGAAACAAGAAAGGGGTTAAACAATACAGAAAACCATTTCTGAGTGGTAGGGGACGTTGTAAAGAAAAAGTTCCACCATGAATTAGAAATAAGATTTTGTACATTAACTCCTATATCAATTAACTTATTGCCTGTAATAGTAGTAACAACAGAATGTTCTATCAAGCAACGATTCCTTTTTTCTATGAAATTTTGTAATACTTTAGTTCTCTGCAAAATCTTACATAGGGGTTCTAAGGAAAAGCTAATATTAGGAACAGACAAAGTAGGAAATAGCATTTGAGTCAGTTCAGTTCAGTTCAGTCACTCAGTTGTATCTGACTCTTTGTGACCCCATGGACTGCAGCATGCCAAACTCCCAGAGCTTGCTCAAACTCATGTCCATTGAGTCAGTGACGTGGACATTTGAGTCAGTGACACCTGAATTTTCATGGGGAGAAAATAATAGATGGTCCCCTTCCAATATAAATGATCAACACATGTTAAACATCTGAAAAGGGGTTCCTAACAGATACATAGACGTAGTGTTTATATCATCAGTTAAAATACATACTAATTAAGGAGCTATTTCAAAAAAAAATATCATAGGTTTTAGGGAAAACAATTCATTCAGAATAGTTGACTGATTCTCCAATAAGTGGAGTTCCCCAAGTGCAAGAAGTTGGTCCTCATTACCCTTGTTACAGTCTATCAGTAAGTTGTTGTGACTATTACAGTGACACAGGAAATTGTTACATGATACTTGTGTTCAAGGCTTGAGCTGTATCTTTATCAGAGCTGTGTAATCTAGCAGACAGATACATTTTGTCCATGGAAAGGTAAAGTTAAGGAAAGACTGGCTTTGAAGTCTTTAGGGCAGATGAAGTTATCCTGAGTTCTGGTCTGGCTCAGCTTTCTCCAGCTGAAGATTCACCAATAGCTTTCTTCATATTTTCCCTTTAATTGTAGCATATCCTTGAAGGTTGAGGCATGAAGGACA